TGGTCGGTCAGTACTGGCGGCCGACAGACCAGAAGTGGAAATGTTACTGGTTTCCAAAAAATGAAATTATATAATTTTCCGAAAGGTACCGCGGGACACAGGCTTGGCAAATTCGGCGCGCACTATAATTGAGGGTCGGCAAAAACAGGCTCGGAGGTACTAGTGGTTTAAAAAGAAAAAGAAAACGTTTTTATTTTTTTTCCCCTTCGATTTGGGTAGGAATTTCGAGATGGTCCTCAGCCAAAATATATATATATTTCACAGCCCCTCGTTTGTTGTCCTCTTCTCCCTCTCTGCCTACGGTTTACCGGGCAGTTCTGTTTGACGATATATATATATATATATATATATATTTGGAAAGCTTTAACTGTGTCATTACAAAAATAATATCTGGACGAGGCCGGGGACCTCACAATTCTACCCGGAGTTGTCCTGGCAGCCTTAGCCAGTTTCGCTTACGAGCCAAGCTCATATCTTCAGAATAACCTGCCCAATGAAAAAACTCCTCAGCTTTGCTGGAGACGAGGTCCAGCGTCCTTTCCAATATCACTTTCCAAAAAAGAAGAATTAATCTTGAAGCACAGTAAAAAGAAGAGCTATCCACCCTGACTAGCTCTTTAGCTTACGAGCACAAGCTCGAATCCCCTCGCAATTGTCACTATCCAAGCAGGTCCAGACTAGGTTAGGCTGGAAACCGGGTCCAGCGTCCCTTCCTGGTCTACCTCTTACACTGCTACTTTAACATGGAGGCCTAATACGGCCTGCCTCTTAACCAGCTTGGGCATATCGAAACCTTGCCCTACACCGTTAGTCCTGTAGCAACCAATCAGCTAACTGCAAATTACCATCCGAAGACACAGAAGCAAAGGATGAACTGTTCGCCCATGTTTTGGAAAACCACCACTGATTTTTAGTTTTCCAATCAGCTCGAATTACCAGTCTAATAGCTGCTCTAATCTGGTTGATAGAATGTTGTACTACTATAGATTCTGACCTGTACACCTTGGCATTTCTTGCTGACCAGACTGCCTCAAAAATAATGCCTCTGCAGACCAGTGCTGCGTATCCTTCACCACCACCGAAATCCCCTTTTCCAGTCCATTTGGCATGCAGAATAAAGTCCTCCCCCCAGTCCCCTGAGAAGCCAGGGAAGCTTTTCCGTTTCTCTTTCCACCACTCTCAAATTTCTCTGGAGAGTGGGCAGAAGAGCCAAAGATGGGAAGCACTTTCCCAACCCCAACCACACCTTGTACAGGTAGCTGGGATGTCCATCCCTTTTGTGTTCAGCCATGTCGCGGAGGCGGTAATCAAAAGATTTTTATACTGCAATGCTGCATAACATATCTTATTTCGGATTTTTTGATTGTTCTTAGAGTCAGATTTTTTGGGGGGTTGGGGGTTGGGGTGGGGGTGGGGGGATGCATCTGGACACTCTGGACTGGACATCAGACCCAGACCGTCTGCACTGTGGTCCAGACATCCGGATCATAACCCTGGTTACGATGAAGGGTATTGTGGCTTGACCATCCTCCAATGACCATATGCTCATGTGGCCATAAAAGCGACTGTTGCGGGCCTACCCCCGCTACTTGAGTGTCTTTCCCGCTGCCACCCTCAAAGTCACAGCCACGGGTAAGTACCGGCCCTCCGGGGCCTCCAAACCAACAAGTACCCTTGCGGGTCACACACACACTCAGACAGGTATGCAGACCAGCAGGCATGCACACACACAGACTTAGGAATCACAGCAGAATGCGGGAATCTCAGCAAGGCATACATTCCAGCGGCAAATCCCAGAAATCAGCAGTGTTCTCAGTCTGCCGTTTTGGCGGGTCATTACAGTTTTAGGAACTCAGTATCAGACCGACAGTTAAGTTCCCAATTGATGTTATTCTCATGTAGGAGGAACCGGAGGGCTCTGTCTTATTCGCAGCCCTCCTCCCATGCAGCCTATATCCGGGGTTTGACCATACTATGTGTGTGGTGACCTTGTCTTTCCAGAAGTAGCCAGACTAGGATCCTGGCTACTTATTCGGCATGCTAATGCTTTCTCTGGAATGGCAATTGACCCTCTCAACCAATCCAAGGTTGTGTGAGCTATAGCAAAGCAAACGGAGTCGCAAAGGTCGATATATCAAGAAAAGGCAGCGAATATAGGAGAAAGAAAAGAAGACAAGCAGCAAACAAGAAGAAAAACATGAGTAGGAGAAGTCTCACCGAGGCTGCCTGCCGCGCCTGTTGGAGTCATCGCGCTCACACTTCACAATGACATACCTGAGTGTGCCATAGGAAACTCTGGCAAAGGTAAACAAGATACGTAACCAGAATATTAGACAATCAAGAGACCATAAAAGAAGATTAAGCCACTCCATTGAAACAGTTTG